CGTCGGGCCCAGACGCCTGGCTTGCGCGGGGCCCTGGCGGCGTCCGCCACAGCCTGACCGGGCCCGGGGTCCCCGCTGGTCACCATGGTCCTGCTGTCTCCCGCTGTGGGCATGGTGAGGTTCACCTGCGCTGGGGTCGCGACAGGGGCGGAGCTCCACAGGTCACCACATCTCCCCCGGTTACCCTCATTCCTGGGGCGACCCAAGGAGAAGGTGACTCTGTCACAGTGAGACCTCCCCTGTGACAGGACCCTTCACCAGTCCCAGGTGTCTCTGAAGAACCTTCACACCAGAACCCCCTGGGCTCCTTGTCCTCGTGTCCAGGTCAGTTCCCTCTGGCCTGGCACAGGTGACACTGTCCACTCAGTGCTCCAGGACAGAAAGTTCCAGGAACCTCACCCCTGTCACACAGTGAGCAATGAAGAAACCAGTCAAAACCCTGGTGGGGATGAAGGTGGGGACCCCTGGAGGCCCCATATTGTCTCATTATACTCTGAGCACCCCACACCCCATTCTCTTCACAGATGCCCAAACACACCACCGAGGGAGCCCATAGGTCCCCCTGGGCCACGGTCACTGCTGACTGGCCACCTGGAGAGATGCCGGAGCCGCCCTGCGCGACCTCGAGCTGAGACGTGGGCGGTGCAGGGCGCAGCCAGAGACACGGAGTTGGGCCACCGACAGGGCCCCCGACAGGCCCCTGAAAGACCCCGCGACATTCCCCTGCACACTGGCCACAGCACACTGACCTGCTGTGCACAGCGGTGTCCTGCCCCCCCACTGAGGTGCCAGGAGAGGACAGCGGGGGACGGGCCGTGCGGTGATGGGCTCACAGGGCCAGTCCTGGCCCCCTTTGCCCTCAGTCCCCACCTCTGGCAGTCGCCTCTGCTCCCCTGAGAGCCCTGACTCTCCGTTCATGGGCCCCCAGATCCCCTCACCTTGGAAAACCTCCAAACCCTCCACCTGGCCCCCAGCACGTCCCAGGATGCCCCGAGCCCCTGACTTTCCCTGCAGCAGCCGGGTCCCCTCTGGCCCTCCTAGAGCACCGTCCTCCCCACTCTGCTCGCAGCTCACGGCCGGATCTGCAGGGCAGAGTGACCTCCCCTGAGGCCGGGCAGCTGCTCAGCTATGGGGTGACCCAGGTCGGGGTCCAGGGCCGGTGACGCCTCCTGTCGTCTGAAGACGGAGCAGCCCAGGCTCCTTCCCCCAACACCGACGC